CTGTAGTAGAAAAAAACCTTCATGTACTGTGAAGAACAGATTACAACTTCTTTCAGTTAAGATTGGTTGAGGAATGTCACTACTGATACTTCAAAACCACAGAAATGTCAACTGTTTCCAATTCAGTGTAAACTGAATGCAACTCGGGAGATAATCATGTACTCACTTGTCTCCAAACTCTGTTAGAGGTGTTTGGAAATGTAATTATGCCAGAGTTAAAGGACTTAAATTAAGCAATGTATCAACATTCAAGCTTTAAATGGGAAATAAGAGCCAATCTAGAAATACACAAGGAAAATGAACTTTTGAGCTTAAAACTGTCTCATACAACAAAACGTGCTAGCATACATACATTAAATTATACCTTAGACAAGATTCCTGAAGCAATTTCTGAACTCTGATATTTTTTGGATGTGTGGATTTTATCATGCTTTCTTCCTTCAAAAGCCTCCAGAGAAAAATATTTGGCATTTGAACTGCAGAAAACAGTTAAATGCTAGTTCTGTAACTGCTGCAAAAATTAAAGTAGGTTTCAAGAGTACAAAAGGAAGGGTTTAAATTCTAAAAATAAAGATGACCTCAACTTATAATATTAACTAGTAAGGGTACTGGTAGATATACATTTAGGTTATGTGAAAGGCAGATATAAATATATTAGAAATAAATGCAGTGTATACAGATGCTTGATTAAAAATATATGCAAGGTGATGTTTCCCTCACCCTGTCTCTTAGAGTCTCTTATTTTCATGTTATTATCCCTCCTTCCTACAAAGAAAGGCTATTAGTCTCAGATAGTCATAAACTTTTCAAGTCAGTCCTAGGCAATCAGCAAATGAAATACTGCAAGACAATATTGTCTCAATCAGAAACACTGAAAGAAAACAATTGGCCAGTTCTAAATGATCTCTCAGATTTTAGTTATATTATCCCTTTCTTATTTGAGCTTCCAAGTGAAGTTAGGTGTGTTGTTTTTTGGGTTTTGAGTTTTTTTTAATGCTGAATATCAGAATGTCTGGCATGAGGGAAATTTTTAGCTCCCACTGCCCAGGGTACATGGTATGGGAGCCTAACACAGCCCTGCCACACTGAACGTGGTGTGTTCAGCACAGCACCACCACTCCTCACGCTTGGGTAACAGCCACGAGGCTCCACTCCCAGTGAAGACGGAAGACATTAAACCAAATCACAGCCTTGCTTCCCACTGCCTTTTATAGATGCTTTTCCACCCACCTCTGGTGGCTGCCAAGGAACTTGCACCACACCACTATCATCACTTATTCAGGTCTCTGTGTGTATCTGACAATGACAGAAAATAAAAGATATCCAGCTCTCATTGTAGACTCCAGCCTGCCCAAACCCTTCTTTGATATTTCAGAGACAGCATTTTTTATGGCATCAGCAACAACTCCGTGGCCAGGTTTCTCATTCAAATTGCTCCTGAAGACAGAACAAGGTCCTTCTGAGCAAAGGCCAAAAAAAATCATTTGGCTAATGCTAATGCTTCTGCCATGGACAGAGTTAGTTCTGTAGAAATATCCACTTTCACCTAGTTGTGTCTCCAACAGAAAGGCTCGTGCTCCGTTCACCGTCCTTTCCTAGTCATAAACCTCAAAGACACTGAAAAAGCTCAAAGGCGATCACAGGCACCTGCAGCTCTGAAGGGAATTCTTTTAGCTGGAATTCTTCTTGCCAAAGAATCAGCACAAGCATCCCATGCAAAGTGAGGCCAAGTTGTTGTACAAACCTCACTGTGGTAAGAAAAATACAGTGTCGCTATGTACGCTGTGAACCTGTGTGGAAGGTGACTGCTCTTGATCATTCCCCCTCCCATCCCACTCACCAACAGTGTCTCACACCTGCCTGCTCATAAGGGTTTCACCTTTTTTCTTTCTATTTCAATCTTCCATGCTGCAACAGTATTGAATTTATGTTTGCAATGGGTTTGAGACTCAGATAGGTCCATGTGGATGATAGTAAGTTGATGAGTTCAGATAATCAGTGTGGGAAGAACAGCCCTTTTTGACTCATTTTCAAAATGAAAATGCATTTCATTTTGAAAAACAGAAGAAAAAACAGAATTCAAAAGAGGAGGCTGTGTTGCATCCTGTAAAACCACCATGCACCAAAAAGGAGTGTACTGTTACACAAAGCAGACAGTTTCTGGAGCTCTAGACAAATTTGATTGTCACAGGCTTTATATATTTCACATTGTTATCAAACAGAAAATCAAATACCAACAACTTTTAGTGACAGGAAAAAAGAACAAAAAAAAGGGAAACAAACAAAACCCAAACAACCAGTTAAGAACGCACCATCTAGAAAGAGCAGACCCTCCACAGAGTTTCCATGGAGAGATCTAGAGGAGATCTGAGCATCAGGGACTGGCACTGCCTCTCACTTGCTCCCCACAAGGGCATCAGGGGCTGGACAACATAACCTCTAAGTTCATTCAGGAACTGACTGAGAAACTTTTAAATAGGCTGTGGAGGAGTCAGGCAAGTTCAAAAATAGAGAGTTAGCAAGAAATTCCTCTTCCCCTTCCTAACATTGGGCTGTGTTTTCAGAAGACAATATATGCTTGTCAAGAAAAAACATAAAACTTACAAATAAATGTGCATTTCAATGGATAATTTTCATTCTGGGAAGGGTCAGAAAAGAAAAATACAGGTTTTCAAGCTTCCCAAAGGCGGATTTATCACTTATCCCAGTCTCTGTGTAAGGATTCCTTGTTACATCTCATAGGAAATGTTACCCTCTCACCTCAAGGAAACAAGGCAGACTGCTTGATAGTACATCCTATGTGATATGATATTTTTTCCCATATTCTCCATTACTACAGCAATGCACAGATGGAGCAATCCAAAGCAATGTACAATAAACAGATTTAGAGAGGTAAGCAGATACGTCACAAGACAGAAAGTGTATGAGTTACTGTCCTTTCTGAGAGCTACAGTCTCCTCAGAGAGGCCCATGTTTGATCTGAATCCAGGTTCACATTCAATTCAAGAAACAGTTTAAATCATTCAATAAACTTGCTTAAGTGTAGACTAACCACCATATTTTGTTTCTTCATTAAAAGTTCATTTGAATTTTACTCAACATTAGCCTACATATAATTTTATTTTATAACTGGTTACCAAAGGTTATACAAACATATCAAATCCATTTGAAATAATGTCTACATCTCACTTCACCAAGGGCAAAATCGAGCTTCAGAAATCAGTTTTTTAATGTTTAGGACTCTTTAAAAAGGACATCTGCTAATTAACTATAGGCATCCTTGGCAGCAGTGTATAGCAGACTAATTTTACAATGAAAGAGCATCTCCCACATTTATACAACTGCTCAAAGAAAGATGTTAAAAAAAAAAAATAAGGATCTTTACAACATGCTCAAAAAATTGAATTAAAAGATCTTCACTAACTTGATCTATTCTCTCTGTGTAAAACATGGCAAAACCTTCCAGGAAAACCATTTTAAAAATACAGAAAAACAGTGACCATTGAATAAAATGCTGTGCTGTGGGAAAACACAAACACTTTTCCCCAGGCTGTGCTGCTGAGCTTTTCAGACTATCTCAGAATCTCAGATGTATCACACCTCCCCAGGGGAAAAGAAACATTTTAAATGTAGTATCCAAATAAGAATAATAATAATTAAAAAAAAAATTAAAAATAGTCATCTGATTACATATCGCCCCTCTTCCTAAAAACTGTAACAACCCTATTTTCAAAATTCAGTTCCCATCAAACAATTTAAAGAAGAAGAGGGTAGTCTGTATATTTATACCCAAGAAAAAAGGCTGCAGAACTACATTCTAATTTTGCAAAGTGTCATTCATGGTTAACAATGTCCCCAACGTATTCTACTATGTCAATTATATAAGGTAATAACAATGAATAAGTTTTTCTTCAGTTAAAATTATCTTAAAATTATCCATTATCTTTCCATGTCTAAATCAGACACCTGCTGAATCAAGTCGTGTATCCAAAATTCAGTGAGAAAGCAACAAAAGAGTCCTGATTATATATACAGGATTAAAGAAGCACAAATATGATAAAAGAGCTCTGCATAGCTACGTGCTTATCCTGCTTCTGAATGGAAAAGGAAGGAGGAAGGGTCTTCAAGGAAAGTAGCCAAAGCAAACTGAAGCGAATGTTAAAAGCATTTCAAGGCTATATTTAGAGGAAGACATTCTTCATACGTTTGCCAATTCACGTCATTTCACACTGCATGTTTTATCCAGCTTTATAAGTCTATGAGAGAGCAGGGTTGGGGGGGGGGGAAATAAATCTGGATCAGTTGCCAGAAATGGAAATCTTGTATTTATGTGGAAGAACGAATATTTTAGGCACGTGAATTCAGAAGTACTTTCCAAAGTGGGGAGGGGAAAAAAAAAAGAAAGAAAGGAGGGTGGGGGGCCAAGCAGAATGTTAAAACTTGCTTTAGACTTCACATAAGGACTCTGCAGCATGTAGTTTATAAGCAACATGACTTAGCCTCTAATACTCCCTTTTGTGCCAGGCTCATCAGCCTTAGCTATATCACTAAAAATACTAAAATGAGTGAATTTCACTAAGTCTTCAGCTGGTATAAACTAGCTGAAGACTTGTCCGTGTTCATGTAGATAGGTTATATCAGTTATATAAGCAATGACATATTTCTCCTCTATTATGTGGTAAGCAGTCATCTAAGATAAACAAACAAGCAACAAACAAGCTTAAAGGTGAAAACAGAAACAAAAATACTACCGTTTCATAAGAATATTACGATTTTTCTCTAACTCGTTAAGCACATGTCACAAGGTACAGCTATTTGCATTAAGAAATGTCAAGCATACAAGAAATATGTCAGTACCAGATGTAACTCTGCTAGGGAAAAAAAAAACACATGGAAATTTCCTGTTAGTGACTTTCTAGAGAGTAGGGATGGAATTCATTTGAGGAACAGAACTGATTTTACTTAAACTTATATAAATGACTTCTACAAAGAGTTTTTACCTTCATTCCCTTCTCCAGGTGGCTGATAAAACGAAAGCCCCAAAGATATGATGGCTGCAATTTCCAAGATTATAAGAGTCACATCCTGCAACGCTTCCCAGACTAGCTGTATGAATGTTTTTGGCTTCTTTGGAGGTATAAAATTTTTTCCAAAAATAAGCTTTCTTTTTTCTAGGTCTGCAGCAGTGCCAGCTAATCCTGTAAATAAAATAAAATGAAATCAATTAAAATTGCAGTTAAATAGAAAATCTCAACTTACATCTGCATTCCTACAAATTACTTCTCCAAGAACAACTACGAGCTGTAGCACCTATGGCATATTAACAAATTTGTAGATATTCCACTTAAATTTTGCTTTTGCAATATTATTTGTCCTTATGCTTTTAACAGAATCCTTATGACTCTATTTAGTACTAATTCCTTCCAGTTTTAATCACAAAAACAAGTCTTTGAACTAACAGTTTTACTTCAATAAGACCTATGTATATAGATACATATATGTAAGCCACAACATCTGAAAATATAAAGCACAAATAAATTATATTTGGGCTAAAGCTGGAATAGATGTGGGTCGTTTTGGTGATATCATCAGAAGAAGCACATAGATCTTTGTTAGGACCTCAGGCTGATGACCTCAATGTATAAATTGATCTAGCATGTCTTGTCCTACTTCAAAGCAGCCTCTCTTGCTGCACATGTACTGCCACACCATCACTGGAATGAACTGCAACAAATTTTTGTTAAGTGGAAAGACACAGCCAAAGGGACAGGTTATATAAAAAAAAAAAAAAAAAAAAAAAAAAATAGGAAAGGATATAGTTCTTTAAACTGATAGTAAAATGCATGTATTTTGTAAGATACTTCAACTCCAGAACATTTCACATTGAAGATACGGTGTAAGAATGGATGGCAGTGCTGAACAACCCACATAAGTGCTTTTTTTCCTATTTTTCAATTACATTAATATATGCTCATCTAGCACCTCTTGGGGGGGAAAAAAAATAGGGAAAAAAAAAAAAAAGACTTGCAAGTGTTAGGGTAGAATAATTATGTTCATAGACTGCTCTCCAGCATAAAGATCTGCAGTAACGTAAGTGGCGACATACATCTGCCAAATACTACTTGATATCAGTTGGAACATTTACAAAACTGTAGGTTTGAATGTGATCAGCAACATAATTTTCTTCACACTTATTCATCCTAACGTGACACAATGAAAAAAACCTAGAATTTAGAGTTGACCTTGGAGGAATCCAAAGGTGCCTGCAAGAGAGCGAGAGGAAGGGATGGATCCCATGCTGTGAGGACTCCTCTCCTCAGGCAGTTTTGGGAAGTCTCTGCCTCCCCCAAGGCACAGCAGCACCTCTGGGGTGGCACAAGATTGGAAAGCCCTATTAACGGGGCCTTCAAGGTGGCAAGCAAAACACATGAGGATCCTAATGTGCCATCAGTACTAAGTTTTAGGTCTTGCTCATTCAGCAGCATGCATGTGCCACTAGGTCACCTCCTCGATGGAAGCACCAGGCCTGAGCGTGCTCTCCTCACCATGAAAGTGATGCTTCTCTGAACGTCTCCATCCTACCTTGCCTTCATCACAGGCAAAGATGTTGACTCACTTTTCACTTCAGGTGTATAATTACAGCTGTTGTGTAGCTTCTGGCTCTTGGTTAACTCATCAAACTTTCATTTCACCCTCAGCTTCCACGAAACACTATCCTCCTCTCCCAGATAAAGGCATGCTGTAGTTATTATTACCTCACTTCATTTAATTTTCAGTACCTAGGGCTTAGTGACACTGTAGCAGGCAGGTTCCAGCTATTTTGAAGTGTGTCTACATTATTCTCCAAGATCCAAACAATAGCATGGCAAACCTCTCCGCTCCTCTAGGAGCTTCTGATGTTAGCTAAATGCTTTCTCCTATGAAATACCAATTACAGGCCATCAGCCTTTTGGGTAGCTGCCCTGCTGTGAACAAATGCAGATCACAGAATTTAGGACAACACACGAGAGTGATGGGGTGGGGGGGCCCGCTCATCACTGATGGGACCTGACGTAAGGCCTTTAGCAAGAGATGACACAAAAGCAGTGTGATTAGCTTTCAGAGGGCTTCAAAGCCCTTCAATACCAGGCAGGATTTTCACTGAAACTGGCATGCACATTTTGCACTAGGCCCCCAAAAAACAGCCTACTCCAAATACAGCGGTGACCTCATACATGAAGGTGAAACTATATGGACAGCACTGACAGTGGTAGGGATTTCCGGCAGAAATCTCCATGTAGTGCACCTGTGAACAGCATTATAAAACCTATGAAACAGAAAAAAATCAAAAGCACACTGGAAAACAGAAGGACGAGACACTTGAAAAATGCCTACTTTCCAACACAGACCATATGTGCACAGAGGTGGGCCAGCTCCAGTGGGTGAATCGGTGACTGGGCGCTCAACAGCATGAAAGGCATGGCTGAAATAGTACAGGAGAGAGCTGCAGTGGTTTTCAAAAACCTTAATATTTACCTAGACATGATGAATTCACAACTTTGAAATTATGCTGTACAAGTTACTGTTAGGAGGTCATAAAATGTATATACATGTTCTGTCCTATGCTCATAATGCACATACAAACACATGTACACACTGAGAAGTCTCCAAAGCAAAAGACAGATCCTGGTAACTCATAGACCTGCTTTTTCTCTAAAACAAAAATCGTTCATTTAGACATCACAGAAATTTATACACCATAAGGTTGAAGACTAGACAGAGTTTAAAGCATCTATGGTCACCATTATCTTCCAGGCTACAGGCTAAGTAAACTACACTGGAATTTAGAGAGGAATTTCATTGCACTCTTTCATTTTGCATAATATAAATTATTTTCCTTAAGACCCATGAAGAGACAAGGGTAAAACATGTGTGTGATTTTCCTTTCTGCAAGTCTATGTCTTGGTGAAATTACTCACCAGGTCAATCGCATCTTAAAAATAAGACAATTTCCCAATTAAAGAGGAATATGTACTTCCTTGTAAATCATTCAGAAATACTGGTAAAGGAAATTTAATGTTCAGCTTAAATCAAAAGGTTTTGCTTCTCCTGAGATCTGGCCATCACTCAAAAAAATCCATTCAGCAAAACTAATAAACTCCTATATTTAGAGAGAGAAAGGAAAGGAGAGAATGAAGAAATTTACAGACCAACTGATGAAATCACATCATAGCAGTCCCAAGCCTTACTGTAGAGCTCAGGACAGAAAGGGACAATAAAATACATATTGATGCCCAAGTTATATAAAGAGATACAGCTCAGGGAAACGTGATTGAGAATCTGAGGCAATGCAAGATGTTTATTTAGCAAAAGCTTCCACAAGTTCTCCATACTATCAGCAGAAGATATAAGGGGGAACACTCCTTATCTTTTTTAAAACGTCTGCTTTAGCAGCAACATTCAACAGCCCTAAAGGTGTTCTGAGGAAGCCCAGCTTGGCTGCCTGAAGAGGCTCAGAGGCCATGCACACCGGCACTGGCAGATCTGCGGGATGCTGCTTCCCAGGCAGTGCAGATGGCAAAACCATCAATTAACACAGCAAGACCCTGCAAGTGGACATCTGTCCTCCCCAGGACTTTGAACCAGGAGACAGCCTTCCTGCTGCTACATTTTTTTTTTAAATTTATGTATTTTTTCACATTACACAAACTGACTTCATTACTGTTGTGAAAATTCCTTTTTTCTTATTTCTTGTCTCTTAAGCATTAAGTCCTGTGACAACAATGACAGAGCACTGCAAATGAAAGTAATTTGAAAACTCATTTCTATACGGAGATACAAACCACCCAAGGATGTCAAAAAGAACTAGTGGGGACTGAAAAAAAAGGAATGGAAATACCAGTTCAGTATGACTCTAGACTTCCTATGTCAGCATGTCTTACATTCAGTATGACCATAATCTACAGCCTGACTGGTTTCACGCTCATTTGTCCACACAAGCATCAATATTTTAATTTTTTAAAGTGCTTTTCTATGTTGAAGCTTTGCAATACTTCTCTACTTGACCCAAGTGTTTTAGAATGATTATGCAGATTTGGGTTCAATTTATGTACAATTATATCCAAGTTTAGGAAATATTGTGAAAATTTATTACTGATGCTTCCACAGCACCTGAATAATTTCTTAAGGTTTAAGTTTCCAAAAATCTTCCCCAAAATGTATTAGAAATCTGTGGGAGAATGAAAATGATTGCACAGAAAATGCTTTCTACAATGTTGTGCAGCATACTCGATGCATTTCTGATTTCCTGTGGCATTGTTGCTTTTTTGGAGGAAGAAAAAGATTTGAAAAATCAGAAATGCCACTTAATGAATTTTATCTGTCCCTTATCTACATCTGTCAGTTACTGCATGCTGAATATAAAACCATCATTTCAATTAATTCTTCCTGGAAGATTTTATTTCTCTGACAGTCATCTCCACTGCAACCAAATGAAGCATGATAAAGAATGGGTTTGATGCTGCAAAAATAGCAAAAGCACATCACTGCTAAAGCAATAATTAAAAAAAAAATAAAACTTAAGAGAATATTTCACATCTGCTTAAATTATGAGATGAAGAATGGAGAATTTACATTTGCATTATTTGTGCAAATAAACCATTCATTACTAACTTACATCTGTACACTGACGCACCCAGAGAAGCAGATGAACATGTTAAACAGCAAAGCATGAAAACAATGTAATTTAAAAATCAAAGAATATATAACTTCCAAAGGAAAAAAAAAAACAACAACACAAAATGTTCAGCAAGGAAAGTAAAGGGTTAGAGTGCTGCAGAACTGCTGTTGACATTAACCCATGGAAGTAAATCAGGTATTTTGGTTAGTGAATTCTAATGATAATTAGAAATGACACTCGTTAATTCTTCCTATGAGAAGGAATACTTTTATCTCATAAGCTCTGATAACGCCAATCTCAAACTCTTTTCTGAGCATTCCTAGCTTCACATTACCTAGGTCTTCACAGAAACTAGAACACCACAAAGTATCACCTTGACAATTATTTCATTTTCTTTGCCTTCTTACACCAATTCCATTTCTCATGGAACTATGAAACGATTGCTGCCATTACTACTGCTACATAACGCTTTAGCATAACTTGCCCAGGCCCACCACCTTCTATAGCTCTTGCACAGATTCTCAGAACTTCATAATGTGA